TTTTCCTTTTTTTTTTTTACATAATGCAGTGATTTGGATTAGGGCTGCAGCTAACGATTATTTTCATAATCGATTAATCGATTAGTTAGCCGATTATTAAGTTCGATTAATCGGATAAAAAAAAGGCTCCAGTGATGGACTACTAGTTTGTACTGAGATTGTAGTCCATCACGGGAGCAAGGCTGGAGCGGTGGAAATAAAAAAAAGTGTGGTGTGCAATATAGTACATTATACAGCGGCGCAATGCAGAATACCAGCAGCTTTAGAGGAATACAGCAAATCGCAGCAATAGTCCATTATATTACAATGTTCTATTGCTGGGATTTGTAGTCCTCTGTAGCTGGTGTTATTCTGTGTTGCACTGTATATAATGTATTATTGCTGGGCTTTGTAGTCCTCTATAGCTGGTGTTATTCTGCGTTGCACTGTATAATGTACTATTGCTGGACTTTGTAGTCCTCTATAGCTGGTGGTATTCTGCAGTGTGCTGCATAATGATTATACGGCGAAATGCAGAATGACCAGCAGCTATAGAGGAATACAGCAAATTGCAGCAATAGTACATTATACTATAATGTATTATTGCTGGGATTTGTAGTCCTATATTGCGGGTGGTAGTCTGCATTGCGCTGTATAATGATTATACAGCGCAATGCAGAATACAAGCTGCTATATTGGAATACAACAAATGCCAGCAATAGTACATTATACATAAAGTGTATAATGTATAGCTCGGATTTGTAGTCCTCTACAGCTGATGGTACATATACAGCACAATGTACCATCAGCTATAGAGGACTACAAACCCCACTACCCCAGCAATACATTAATACAGCACCATGGGGGGGGGGGGGGGTGGGACAGGGGGAGGAGAATGCAGGCTTACCCGAGCAGCTTGTGGGCCTGTCTGGCAGCTGCCTTCCCCCATATGCCTGCTCTTCCTTCATTGTGCCGATCGTGAATGGGCGGGCCGCGGGGAGATGCGGCTTGCAGGGAAGCGGCGAGTCCGTATGGCGGGGAGGAGTCGTGTCGTACGGTGGGGAGACGTGTCGCGCGGCGGGGAGGGCCCAGTCACACCAAGAGTGCGGCGAGTGAGGGAGCTCACCGCGAGGAGAGGAGCAGCGGCATGTGCGGTGGGCGTGGCTTCTGCATCGTGTCCAGCGAGTGACGTGTGTGGAGCCCCGACTAATCGACGATGGCAAACGTTGACAACGTTTTCCATCGTCGTTTTTAATCAACGTAATTGATTAACTGTTGCAGCTCTAATTTGGATGGTGTACATACATCTGACCTCTCAATTTGAGCATGTCAGTTCCCTGGCTGTCATGCTGATGGTTTGTCTTAAAGCAGAACTCCGGGGAAATTATTAACCCTTGCAAGGGTTAACTGCCCCTTTTGGTCTAGGGAGGAAAATAACAAAGTTATATTCACCCGATCCTTGGAGCTGACCATCTGTGTCAGCGCTCCCTCCTGCTTGGCTTCTCTTCAACTGCAGCGATGGTATGACCCTCAGCATCCTCACGTCCTATACACTGTACATTAGATGTGATGATTTCTGGACCTTAGACCACTGCAGTGGAGGGGCAGAGAGGCTCCAGGTACCAGTCTAAGAGCAAGCCGGCTTTGAGGATTGGGTGAGTATAACTTTGTTATTTTTCTCCCTAGACCAAAATGAGCACTTAACCTTTGCAGTGCAGGGGGTAGCCCCACTGCAAGGGTTAATAAAACATTTCCCTGGAGTTCTTTTTTAAAACTTTATACTGACCTGGAACAGATTAGAGGTGGAGAATTCTGACACTCATTTACAGCATGCTTGTTTTGGGCCTCCGACTCAAAAGATTAGATGCAATACAGAGTCAGGTAACCAGCATTTTCAGGAGAAAGCCAGCAGTGGCAGCCCCCTTGCTTCTCTCATAATACATATACTGTACAGTTAACCTAGCATCATATATATATTTGTATGTAATGTGGTGAGAGGTTTTAAATACCGCTACGTATAACACTTGCAGGTATTACCCTGTTTCAGAGATCACAGTGCTCCTCGTGACAATACCTTTGCCAGCTTTTCTCTCTAAAAGGACAAAGCTGCCTTTGTTCAGTCTTTATTCAGGGTCAGCATCTATATGCTGGACTGAGATGCTGGCCCAGGAAGGAGATATTTGAAGTTCTGGTGCCTGGGAAGTTGCTGGCTGTGTTCCCAAATGTCTGACACAGATCATCTCCTGCGACAGTCTCTCACCTGCAAATTGCTACAAAAGTACAATGTTGCAAAATGACATTTCGGGGAGTGGAGACTGAGGAAATTCTTCCTGCTGCCTGCAGCAGACTGATGATATCGTCTCAGCTTATGGAGTCATGTGACTGCAGCTCAAAGACTGCTTTTTCTGCTTTAAATAAGGCACAAAAGAGTCCTTGCTTTAAAAATTATACTGTTCCTGTATATTGTGTGGTCAGTATTTGTAATTTTTTTGCAAACTTACTGAGTTCATGAAAGGTTAATTTGCAACTGGTAGTGGTAGGCTTTCTTGATATGTTTGATCAATTCTGCAATATATCTATTTTTCTTTAAATTACAAAATGCCTTGTTTAGAACCTACAGCTGCAATATAATCTTTGTTTTTTGGGGCCGCTTTGCTCACCCTCTGTGCTGTATGGCCTAGGTCAGTGGGCTGCACTAAGTTGTGTGACATGGCCAGCGATGAGCTACAAAGAGACGTGGGTGGGTCGTGTTAAAGAACTGGAGCAATGCACTCCTTACTGTTATGTCCCTTGCAGTGGGTGCTGTAGTGAATGCGGAGTGGCGCGGCTTCAGATTCACGTAGTAAAGTGTGTCTCCAGCACACCATGGTTAAATCTTCAAGAAGTGATCATTTTATTGATGCACACACATCTTGTCACATAGCAACATTTTGGGGCCACTCGGGTCCTTTCATCAGGCAAAGAACTGGAGCATTCGCACTGTGATGGCAAGGATCTGCAGGCACATATAGCCTCTGTGCTTATACACATTTTACAATGGGGGCTTATTCATATTCCCCCTGCTCTGAGAGGCGTTGCTGTTTGGGACATGGGCAGCAGGGGAGATAGTAAGCCATGCATATATGTGCAATGCAGAGGTAGATGAGCCTGCAGATTGTTGCTACCATAAACCAGGAAGTGAATGTCACTAGCAGGATCATGAAACTTATTTTAAATAAAGGTCACACATAGGAATTTAAATGTAATAGGGAGGTTTTGATGAAGTTTTTTTAGGGTTTACAAACACTTTAACAAGCTTTTCAAATCACCCAAAATCTTTAGTATTTAGCATAGGTTACAGAGCGCAATTCACCATGCTGGAAGATTACAGTTATTTGTACTGTAATTAGGAATAACACCCCCTTTCCCCAACAATAATTTAGTCATTCCACACAATCCTTTCATATACTCATGGGGGAGAACTCCTTTTTTGCCCCCATCTCCTTTTGTTTCACCTTAGGCCAGCATACAAATTATTTATATAAATATATAT